TCAATTTTACTTTAATAATTTATCTATACCTATGCGTCCTATGGGACTTTTAAAAAATAAAGTATATGGTTGGTCCACTTTTTGTAAATTAGCACCCCCCCAACAAAAATCCTAGCTACGGGCCTGGTGTACGTCACCTAAATTAGGTGAGTTAGTTACTATTTTAGGTGACGTCAACTAAATTTGAAACTACGAGTAAACAGCTACTGAGATCAGGGGGGAAACGATGATACAAATGAATGTCTATTCACTCATTCTCTGGTTAAAAAAACCCTGATTAGCATGACCGTTATTTGGCTCGTTTTTACTATTTTAGTTGACGTCAACTAAATAGTTAAGTTAGATATATGTTATTGATTTATTGATTTTCATTTGTATATTTACATTTTAATTTATAAGAAATACTAGTGACAAAAAGTTACGACGTATATTTCATCTAATATTTTACGACTGTTGCTTTCTGGTCGGACTTACAGGTGAATTTTCGTGCTACTCCTAGTTCTATATATTTATTCATTATTCATTTATTTACTATTTACTTACCTAGAAGTACTATTAAGTTTTAAGTTAAAGTGCTTTTAGTTTTTTAGCCGACAATATTGTTTCAGGGACGGCGGAGCAGTTTTTTGATTGGGGGGTGGGGGGCTCGATAGTGACATTGTATGGCAAGGTGCCGTCCCTGTGCTTGCCTCTCGATCCAATTTACCTGAAAAAATATGTCTATTTGGTTCGATAAATGAAATTCTTATTAATTTTTAGCTAGAGAATATTAAGTACTTCATATTCTCTTGTTTTCAGTAAATCTAATCACTAAAGTGCTTTGCTTGGCTATACTTCTCCTTAGACTAAGATTTCTCAAAGTATATGATTTTACTTACATGTCTTCTATCCTTTGACTTTGGGGGAAAGCTGCTGTAAACTTGGAATTTGAATATTCATAAAATTGAATGTCTCAGTAAAAGCAGTTCCATTTCAAAATTTCATTACGGGTGACAGTTCCAACACAAATTTACTCCATTAAAGTTTAAGCTATTTCAATTTTGTTCCTAGCTAATTCTAACTTATAAGACCTTTCTAGCGGCACTGGCTAGGTTGATAAAAAGTCATTATACCAAATATCTTCCATGAAAAAGACCGTTGATTGCAGCAGAGTTAATTATCTCTGATTGCAGATAAGCTTAAGGCTTTTAAATTAGTCTTGCAGAAATTTGGCACCATAGATATAGTTCGGTCAGGTATAATACATCAGCCAGAGCCATGTGTTTTATATAAGTCAACTAAAGTGGAAATCATTATGAATTTTTATACCTGCACGTGCTCATTGGCAAGCCATCATGAATTGATAATTATCCGTCCTTAATTATTATCATTGGCATATAGCTGGGTGTTTTTGTTTGTATGTATTTGTTTGTTTGTTTATTTGTTGTTGTTGTTGTTGTGCATGGACAGGGCAGAAAAACGGTTCTACTTTCGACGTTTATGCGTTAATAAGCTTTATATTTCATAACCAGGCTCATTTGGGGCTGATTAACCAAATACCAATTTGGGGAAAATTTGAGATATAACGCCCTGAACGTTGAGAGAGATGATATTTTGATCATTACAAAAACTACTAGTAACATTTTCGCTAATACCTCGAAGTAAAATTGCCGTCGAGGTTAGCAGAATTTTGTGAAAAGTTTAAAGCACAAGAGACACGAATGAAATACCAAACGTTTTTTTGGCATGAATGAGAGATAAAGAAAAAAATTGCGAAAGTAGCAGCCTTGTTATTTTTCTGCTCTGTCCCGTGCATGCAGGTTGCGCGAAGAGAGGGAAGAAAAAACTCTAACACCATAAAAACCAAAAACTTGTTTCTACTCCAAATGTATTTGCAAATGAGCTGTATTCTTATTAGGTCTCTTTCAATATGGTCTTTAACGTGTCTTTTTTTATCATGCTGTAAGTTGACCCATTTGCTAACAAAATGGTTTCATTATATTTTTAATACAGCGTTGTCTGCATATTTAAAAAAATCGACTTTAATTTATACACTTTTATTTAAAGAAGCTTACACATCATAGTCTTCTGAAACGCTTAACGGACAGGACAATATTTTATATGTATATATACCATATTTATTCTTATCTTTTTTATATACAGCTAGATATAATTTCAAAAAAGGTTGAATATACTGAATACCGCATACTGAATAGTGCATTCCAAGGCCAAAGGGCATTGTGATTCTTGTAAATTTGAAATAAAAAGTAAATATACAGCAATTATTTATATAATTAACTCTCTACATGTAGTCAGTATATTTTTCAGATGGAATACACTAAAAATAGAATAAATAATTATTATTAATCCTATTTTAGACAATGTCACTATGACCCACAATGCATTTCGGTCTTGGAATGCACTATTCAGTATACAGTATTCAGTATTCAAGCTTTTAACTATGCTGACACTAAGTTTTACCAAAGATTTTAAATTCTTTTTCATTCAGATGTATTGATGTATTCTTCTTAATTTAGATGTATAGAATGAGCTAGAATATTTAAATATAAGCCGTAGTTTTCAAAAAATACACTTGCGTCACTATATTAGTACTAACGGTTTTAAAGTTTAGTAAACATGAGCTGGCGCTCTCTCGTTCTTCGAATCCATTATCAGCGTTCTGGTCTACATAGGATTAATAATTTGGAAGAACTTGTCCACTGAGATGAAAGACGCTTCGTCAATGACTCAATTCCACAAGAGTCATTCAGTACTACTTTATACAGTTATCAGGTTTTTCACGTTAAAAAATCTTGTTCACGATTTAATTTCGCTGCATATTACTCCCTGCTTTTTTGAAAAGTAAGGTTCAAAAGCAAAACTTACCTAAAAATATTCTTGAACTTCTGGGTCAGATTGAACTGTCCGATCCGTTAAAAGTCGATAAAATAATACGAACTGAGAACCGGTATACTTCACTTATTTATACTTCACTTTTCAGCTGGCATAGTGAAACTTATGTAAATGTCATTGCAACTTTTATTAAACATCTGGCGAAGCATGCATAATTCAAACTGCAATGGAAAGAACTTCCTCACCTACCCTTTCTCTTTTTCTTCACATGCAAAGTTTCCAAGAAAGTACTTTAGTTCCAAGTACGGTGCTATTGTTTCTTAAAAAAATTCGGGAACATTTTCAAGCAAGAAACTCTACTGTTTGTCTGCAAAGTTGGCAAAATCAACGGCAGAACTAAATTGAGCAAAGAAAGTAGTTTAAATGTACGAGGTTTAAATTGGCATGTATATATGTCTTATTTGAGTCAGTTGAGTCCGAAACTTGAAGGAAATTGTTGATCAAAGCCCTCCGGCAGACAATATCCATATAATGTACAATGGCTTTGGTGATGAGTGAAGTTTTCTATTCAAACCAACGTTCATTGATCGTAATAATAAAAAATGGAAAAAATATAAACAATGATGCAACAGAACGGAGCTTAATTAAAAGGGCCCGCAAAAAAAGGAATAAGCTGGTTGAAAATTGCTGTTGCTATGGCAACTTCTACGTATGCTTTGTGCAGCTGTAACGATAATGCCCTTTGATGTCAAATTATGGTTCTCTTTCTGGTAAACATGGTAAAGAGAGAAAAGAAAATAAATAAATAATAATAATGCAAGAAAATACAAGTACAAGACAGATAGACTGAGTGAGGGAACAACTAACAGACTCAAGGTCCCATCAAAGTTACTCCCAACTAACAAAAACTAAAGTTATAATAACACAAAAACAAGAAAATGTATACAGGAGAAAACGAATAAACTAGAGTCTAGTGCATTCATAAGCCAGGGGAAAAGGAAAAAAACAACAACAAACGACAAAGAACAAACGACTCAAGGGGAAAAAATTAAAAACTAGACAGGTTTGAAGGCTTATGGAGACAACTAGCTCAGTTGGGCCAAGCTTGGGATACCTGTGTTGTATCCCAGCATCCAGAGTTGTGTGAGTCGAACAAGATCCAAGATGGAGGAAGTTGATAACATTATTATCCACACTTTACGTCAAATTGGATGGTAAGATTCAATATCTACAGTAAATTGGTTGTAAATATAACAGATATTAGATATTATTGTAGCTCTTGCGATAGGGATGATTAATTCATTTTGCTCTTTAAGCCCCGAGAGCTGTTTTATTCCTTCATCTCGAACTTCGTTCTTGGTACGTAATGTACCAAATTTTGGTGTAAGCCTTATAATTTTTATGCCTTTAACCTTTAACTCGTCAAAAATTACTAAGTATGAAAAAGTTTCAAAAGAAATATGTATTCATCGTGTAGAAAGATTGAGAAATAGAAATGTCAGGTAAAAGAATGCCTTGTCTCTTCTTCCAACACCTCCCCCCTCAATTAATTCTCAAATGAAAATTAAAACTTGATGATCGATACGAAAGAGATTTACATTTATAAAGAATTCATTAGTTTAAAAAATCCTGCAGTTGATTCCTCTGCAATCTCTGTATTGATAATTTGCAACCATTTCCAAAAGAGTCAAGAAACAAAGACATGGCAGCCATGGTTGGTATATGTAAACAAGGGAAGCTACAACTGTAATGCAGGGCTTCTAATAACAGCCAGTCAGTTGCCAGCCATTATCACATGCCAAATTAGTTTTATCTTAGTCATTCCATATTATTGGCTAAATGTTACGGCTCAAATGACCAGCCAGGCAAAGATTTGACCAGACAAGTCCCAGTTTTGGCCAGACACTGTCCAATGTTATTTTAGTAATTTAATGAGAGTTTTCCAGATTCTGTTAAAATACCACCAACATAACCATGATAACATAACTTGCAAACAAAGCATACAACTGACTTTTTCTCTTAATTTTCAGCGATATGCCAGAGGAGGTAGCATCCATTAAGGATTTTACCACTCCGGTCATCGTCCAGGCAGTGTCAAAATGTTTACATGTTATCAATGAGGAACTCCAGATACCCTCTAACCTGCCAGCTAGCATGTCTGCAAGGTTCAGAATAGGGACAACAATGGCAACGGCTTTGCAGGTATATTATTCAGATTGTGTGTTAAGACTGATAGCTCTCCAATTTTAATTTGTTTTTTCATTAGTGAGTTGCTTCTTATTGTTGTGAACATTATGTGAGAAAACTATAAGGTTTTCGGCCTCTTTTGTGCTTTAATTTTTAATGAGCTCTAAATCTAATCTTACTGTACCTTGGCTTGGGGTATGGCTAATTTAGAATTTATGTGCTGCGTTTTTGGGAGACCCAACTATATTTAAATGCGAAGTGAGCTTAAGGAGACTGTAGAAGTGAGAGATGTGTACACTAACTGCTATAATACTTATAATATTATTTTACCAAGCTCTTGTTATTAGGATGAGCCTTTTGCAACAACCGGTCACATGACCCTACCCCCACAAAGAAAGAGACGTTGTGTCAAAATAAACACCAGAAATTGAAAGAGCACCTCAATATTAGTAAGAAGACAAAGATTTAGCTTATAATGTTGAATATAGGAGAAATGGCATTGAATATAGAATTGAATATTTTATAAAGTTTTGTATGGGAAAATGTGCTGGATGGCAAAGCTTGCATCTCTTTTTTGATGGGGATAGGGTCACTTGACCTGTTGTTGCAGAAGGCCTATTCTTTCTCTATAAACTGCACTCTTGCATTTCAAAATGTGTGTACTATGATGTGTTAATGTACTGAATTTATTCAGGATCTTGGCTATCAAGGTGAAATTGGTTACCAGACTTTCCTGTATTCTAATGAGACTGACATCAGGAGAGTTTTCATGTTCCTGGTTGAGAGACTTCCAAAGGAGAGCTCAATGTCTGTTAGTGAGCCTCTAGGTAAGATTTGAATGAAACTGCATGCATGACAATGAAATACTATTTTGTCTTTGAAATGCCTCATATAAGACTAGTAAGACTAGCAAGACTAGCAAGACTAGCAAGACTAGCAAGACAAGCAAGACAAGCAAGATATGCAAGGAATCAGTGCAATTGCCTTAAAATAATTGCTGTCCCGCCAAAATTAGAACTTCTATCTTAAGTACTTGTATAGTAAGGAATGTATGTACTACTACATACTGGTCAGGAGTATTGATGGAAATCTTTTTTTGGTTTAAACAGGTACTTCAGTCCTCTTGAACCATAGAATTGCTTCAGAACTATCCAAGAGGTTATCTCATGCGTGGACGCCATCATTCTGCCGACAAGGAGGACTAAGATGGAGGGGGGTCAAAGAAAGGACCTATGTTAAGGAGGTCATTATTGCTATAATTGACTAGTTTTTGTGTGTGTGTGAGCAGAGAGATTCTTTTTGGATAAAAAAATATATAGCTCTAGGCTTGTACTCATTTGTAAAATATATTTTTTCTTGATGGGATCATAACTGGGAGGGCTTATATTTGGGGGCATATGGATAAAGAGGAAACTTATTTATTTCCGTCATCTTTCCAGTTAATTTTTTATGTGCATCAATGAATAAACACAAGTTTAAAGAGGTCAGCTTAAAATCAAGAGGCAAATAACTGGAAGGATATTTGCATTAGCAGACTAGTGGGGTTAAAACTGGGAAGGTTTATTACTGGGGGGGGGGGGGGGGGGGGGGTGGGAGTCTTAGCAAGGACTTTAAGGTAACTAATAAAAATGGTTTAAAAAAGATAGAAATGATATTGAGCCTGTTTTTGATTGATTTATGGTTCTATTTATTTTTAGGGTACAAGGGATATGAGAAGGTACCATGCCTGTCCGCTTGGGTCCCCACAGGGACTGGCTGACTTGACAGTTAAACTACCGAAGGGTAAGTTGAACGTTAAGCAAAAGTTAATCCCATAATAGATGGTTTCCAACCGTTCCTACTTTACATGTAAGGGGTGGTACACATATTGATGGTATAAACAAATGAGTGATAACTCTAGGGAGAAATAGATATTGAATTACTTTAGCATGTACAGAGTCACCCCACCGTTCAAGAATCAAAATTCATCTTGTCATTAATCTCTCAGTAACACTGAGAGCAACGTTAACCTGCAGCCAGTCTACAGACGTCAGCCAACAAAATGTTATCTATCAATATTTAAATGCAGTTTGTGGGATGCAAGCTGTGATATTTTTATGTGCCAACATCTTCACCAAATAATTGATGAGCATTAAAACATCATAATAAATTTAACTTGCATCACTGCTCTATTTCATTAAATATTGTCCAAAATTCAATCTTATAATGTTGATGATGATGATGATGATGTTGACAAGGAGAAGGACAACGACAATGACAACAGTGTTGACATATTTAACATCTCAGAGTCTAAATTCTAGGGACCTGGAAAAATTTTTTGTAATCAGTACCACCAACATGAAGTAACAGGTTTAGAGGGGGCAGCAAAAAGTGTATTTTCCATAAGTGAAGGGTCTAAACTTTAAGCTTGGTATTCCTTGATCTTCATCCACATTTCTAGCMTGTTTTTTCCTAGGKTTACATATWAGACCAGTTTCTTACAGTCATGCACTATTAATTGCCCCTAGAAACCAAAGCATACTACGTGAATATAATGCCATTCATCACAAGTAGAAGGGTCTAAACTTTAAGCTTGGTATTCCTTGATCTTCATCCACATTTCTAGCCTGTTTTTTCCTAGGTTTACATATTAGACCAGTTTCTTACAGTCATGCACTATTTATTCCCCCTAGAAACCAAAGCATACTACATGAATATAATGCCATTCATCACTAGTCAACCAGCATGTCCCCAAGATGTTCCACCATCTGTACTTGAAATGAATGCTCTATCAGTAACTGCTGCAAGTGAATGGGAAGTTGAGTGGAGTCATAGTGGAATAGCCTCAAGGCTCTCTAAAGAGGTGAGAATTCATATTATAACTACCATTATTGTTGAAATATGCAACCTGTGAAGAACAATATCTTCAGGGATATTATTTTTAGACTGAATGAAAAATGTTGAATCCTCTATTTCCTCTAAAATTTAAAAATCTAAAAAAAACTACCACATGACTTTGCTAATGATTTTTCTGTGTAGGAATATCTAGCACGTAAGAGGCAGCGCATTGAGAAGAAGATTAAAGATCACTTGCTGACTGAGATGAAGAAAGTCGAAGCAGGAGGTGTAGCAGATCTAAGTGATATCATTTCTATGTACTCTGGTAAGTACTCAGTATTATACCTTTCCATGTGGATGCTTATGCATGGATGCTGCTATGTGGCTGCAGACAATGATACCATTATGTACAGTCTGAAAATTACTCTTTCTATGTTGATTCTAGTGCTATTGTGCACACTGTAAGAACCTTTTGTAAGAAATTTTCAGTTACGCTGATGGTCTTAAAAAATGTTTAGACCGAAACGTCTGTTTAAAAATTGTAAATTTCACAAATTAGAGAAAATTTTAAATTATGATGAAAATTCATCTGTTGGCTTAAAATCATAAAGTGCATTAAAACAGCAGCTGAACCTGAATTGATCAACTGATTCCTTTTTTAACATTATTCTTCATAGGAAAGTCAGCAAATGATTCGAGAACCAAAGGATCAAGGTTCACTCGCACTGAAAAGTTACAGTTTGCCCAGGTACGTTTATAGAGGAAACTTGTGAGCATTCATCTGGTTGTTTCTTGTCCCTGGTTGGCCCTCTGACAGGTTCAGTCTCAAGTTTTCCATCCTGTAGACCTGCAAAAATCAAAATTTCTGAATTCATTTTCAATCTAAAACCAATAACAATACAGAAATTATGGTGAAACCTCTTATTTAGCTGCTAGTTGTCAAAGTCTCAAAGAGGGTTTTGGAAATAAATTCTACTTCTATTAAGCTGCCAATGTGTACATTTTTAGGATGAAGAGAAGGTGGCAGCAATGGCTGGTCTCAGCGAGGAAGGACCTCCCAAAGCAGACACTGAAGAGGTAAACTTGAATACTCAGTTAGTTGATATTAAACAATGGACTTGCTGTAAGCTGACCTCTATGGGACTCTAGAGTCATGAGCAAAGCAAGTGAAAAAAAGGGCATTGAATGCTACCACCCAGAGGTTTTGCAGACTCAAATTTTATGGGCAAAATAGTAATACATTCCAAGTACTAACAATATATGCGAGTATACCTATTTAGATATGGGATGTGTGAAAAATGGAGAGCTGGTAAAAAAGCATTAGGGTCGTGGAAAGGGAGATCTGTGATACTAGGGGACTGGCCTCCACGGGCAATGTCATCAAGGAGCCTGATGGGATATCTATTGTATGTAAATACTCGCTATTATTTCAAGTACTTAGAATAGGGTCAGGGGCATTTACAAATTATTGGTGTCTCATTAAAACTTATTTTTACCAATAGGAATTACAAAAGAAGAGAGAAGAAGAGATAGAGGCATTGCAGAAAAAGCTGAATGAGCTGTCTTCAAGTATAAGTAACTCAGAAGTGGAAGTAAAGAAAATCAATGCCAATATTCAGCAGGTTACTAAGATTATTTGCACTACAGATTTCAAAATGCTATTTATTGTACTCCTCTTGTCCAATCAGAATCAAGTAATTTTGTTGAGTGAATTGCAAAAGCTCAAATAATCAAAATACTAAATTGCTGTTATTGTTTACCCTATGCAGACTAGTGAGATTATCTCTAACAAGAAAACCCAGAATAGTGATCGGGAAGAATCATATAAAGTCAAAAAGAGAACTGTAGATCTGCTTCCTGATGCTGAGAATAACATTGCTAAGCTCCAGGTAATTCATAAGACATTTTTAGGGTAAAAAATTGGGTCTTTACTTTTGTATTGTTCTTAATATTTATTATTGTATAATCTTCTGCTCTGCTCTGCTCTGCTCTGCTCTTCTCTGCTCTGCTCTGCTCTGCTCTGCTCTGCTCTGCTCTGCTCTGCTCTGCTCTGCTCTGCTCTGCTCTGCTCTGCTCT